CAGAAAGGAGAATTCTACTGCCTGAGGGTTATAATCCCTAAGTGCGGCCGAAGGCCGCTTACGTAGAAAGTAATTCTACGCAAAAATACATTTGTTAAAAAGAACATTTTTTTTTATAAAAACTGTTTTTTTTTCTATTTTTAATTAACTTTTTATTCTTTATTCAAAATCCCCCCATATCTAATTTGGCATAATTTCTTTTATTAAAAAATCCCACGGTTTCTGTTAGTTGGGTCATATTCCACATCAAACTGCTCAGTTTGCCTAAGAAAAATCCGTTTTTCCCCCTTTTTCAAACGGTTCCCTAGGTGCCTGTGGGAGGAGTCCAAGGGGGGGGTTCCCCTTTTTAGAAAGCGGCGACTATCTCCTTTCTACTGGGGGGGTTTTGGGGGCCCCGCCCCCCCACCCAAAAAACGGTGTGAGTGGTACTAAACATTTCCCCTTTTCTGCCATTTCGTACGTTATACTAAGGCCAACAACAACTGTGCCAAGTTTGGAAGAAATTGGTCCTGCGGTTACCAAGATATACACATGTAATTATAATATTCTTATTTTACGTTTAAAACTTATTGTAAATGTCAATTTTGAGTGAATAATCTTCAGTAGTTACTAAAATATCGAAGTTTTCGTATATCTGAAAATTACCGTTATATGGGAGGTAGGCGTGGTTATTATCCGATTTTGCCCATTTTCAATACCATCCGTTCTACGCCAGAAGAAGTGTACGTCCCTGCAAAAATTGTTGGACCATGTCCCTGCAAAAATCGTTGGACCATGTAGTCTATTTGTGGTATATTGGAGTACTTACAAAAGTGCTCCTCTGTCATGCTGTAGCGGACCAACTCGTGTCTCTGCACCAGCTTATTGTTACCCGATCACTGCTCGTGTTTTAACGAAATGTGATTGAAGTTAAGCATTTGAAAGTACATTTGCATGTCTGGCTGTAGCTAAACGTGTAGAGATGCTAGCTATTATTTCTTAGCTCCCAGCATGTTCGGGTTCGAATGTCGTCAGAGGCAACATGTAATTTTTAATTTTTGTTTTTGGTTTTTATTCGCTTCAAAAAAAGCATCTGCGAAGTGAAGAACAAAAGCGTGTACAAACGAAAAAATATAACAACAATGCCATTGTTAATATGTTGGAGTAGTTTTGTGCTACTCTGATGTAATGCAGGGATGGAGTATATGGTCCTGCCCTAGGACATCGCAATGTTAATTGGACCATATTTTTTATATGAATTGTGGTTAATTTTGGAGTACTCTTGGCGAAACCTCACATTTTCAATTCAGAGATTCTTCCAAATAATTATCATATCTATAGACAAGATAGGGGGGACAGAATCGGCGGTGGCGTACTCTTTGCTGTAGACTCTTCAATATCATCTGAAGAAGTTAGTCTTCCACACATTGATTCAGTAGAGTTCAAATGCATTCGTGTACAGGCTTTATAAGGGTATATTTACTTAGCTCAATGCTATATCCCTCCCCGATCTACCACATTGGTGTATTCACGACTCATCTCTTTACTGAAATCAGTTAATTTACTGACTAAACCTTCTGACTCAATGATTGTGTTGGGTGATTTTAATTTACCAAGCATATCATGGAACATCATTGACAATGATATCGTACCTTTCGCGTCTAGTGCGTGCAACAACGTATTTTTAGAGGAGATGGCTGAACTCTGCCTAACTCAGGTTAATGTACTTCACAATAAGTTTGGTAAAGTATTAGATCTTGTTTATGTTGATGATGCATCTAAGTCCGTTGTAAATAAGTGTGATCCACTAGTTTTGCCCGAAGATGTCTACCACCCTGCTATGGAGGTATCTTACGAAGTTATAAGTGATGGTCAAAATTGCAGTACCCAAGCATACGAACCAAATATTCGCTTTGATTTTTCGAAAGCCAACTTTAAAATGCTTAACAAAGAACTGTCTAAATTGTCGTGGCCTGCATTTAAAGAAAATATTGAACAAAGCGTTGCACTTTTTAACTTTACTTTACATAAATTATTTGAAAAGCATGTGCCTAAACGCATGTATGTTCCTGAAGAGCAAACACAGTTATGGTTCACTAAAGAACTGAGAAATTTGAAAAACAGAAAGTCGCGTTATTTTAGATTACAGAAAAAACCCGGTTTACACTCATACTATGTAAAATACTCACTTTTGCGTCATAAGTTTTTTGAATTAAACAAAAAGTGTTATAAAGCTTACTTGTGTAAAATCAAACGGCGTATAATATATAACCCCAAATCATTTTATGACTTCGTAAACCCCAAGCGAAATGTACGCGCACCCTCTCGGTACGCTTCAATGACATTGCCATGTTAATTTGGTTAGGCAAAGGAATTTAGCTTTCTCTAATGTATTTAGAACAAACCATTTCCCAATATTTTTTGCAGACTTTAATTACTTCACCATCCACTTCAAGATGATAAGCATGGTACACGCCCTTTTGACCGTTTCGCCCCTTCTACGCTTAACTGGAACAACATGAACTAGTGCATTAATCCATGATTTTCTTTGATCACATGCAGGGTTGCCGTTTTGGGCTTTTCCTACCAAAATTGGTAGGTTTTTTTCTCGCTGGTAGGATGGTAGGACGCTTAAAATTTTGGTAGGTTTCTTTGCTCATAAAACAGAAAACATCTCTGGCTTGTTGTAATGTGTCACTTTGTCATCGCTGTAAGTAGGCTTGCCAAATTTTCACAATATCAATTTTACCCTCGTTCATTATAAAGCCTCGTTGCTTTATGGTATAGGCAGAATTTTACCAATCACCTTCGGCAATTTTCTGAACTCTATATTCGTATAGAATCCTCCGGCTGAACCCTCCACGAGGGTGCTGACTGGTAATGGGCACTACAGAGGATTCTGTGCGATGTCAGAATGGTGCTCAGCTAAGATCAGGAATCAGTGCTATGTGCTAAACTCCTTAATAGCGTAGTCATATGGAAATGGTTTCTGATCGTGGCTTGGAGGTCTGAAGGGGCTGGATCAAGGCGTCACGCGCACCGTACCGAGGATCGGCCAGGCTGGGGGCCCCTAAATAGCCCAGTCGCGAACGGAGCCCTCTGGGAGGCGGCCACACCCAGGATGTAAGTAGGCCTTACCTGGGCATCGCGGATCTCTGCCCGGGTGGACGAACCCCCTTTCTCCGCAGCCCGTGGGATCAATTATGGACAAAAAACAAATAACAACAACAACAACAAAAACAGCAACAACAACATCAAAAACAATTTATAAAGGGACCGGCCCCCTTAAAGCGTCGGAAGGGTCTCGGCCCACTAAACAAGGAGCTCAAGCGATGCAGAGTACCTCCACCAGCCGTAGTGCGGTGACAAATAGCGGGAAACCAAGGCCAATGGTGAAACCGGGCCAAGCTCTCGCAAAAACGAAGGAAAGTGGCGGTGGGGTTGCTCAAAGGAGTCCACCCCGGGAAACTCCTGGCACCAGTGGACGCCAACCTGGCATGCAGATTGCAGCCGGGGATAAGGCTGAATCTGGGGCGCAGGCCCCGGGCGGTCCTCCCGCGACACCCACGGCCTTCACGAGGCCTGACCAGAGGCCAGAACCAGCTGCAGCGGGCTATCGGCAGAGGAAGCTGGCTGCTCGAATCCTGCAAAGGTTCACCGCAACGCCTGACCTGTGTAGCAAGGCGAAAGAAGAGCATGTGAAGGAGATCCTCACAGAAATCGACTGGGCAAAGGCAGTCCTGCCCGACTACCGCAAGCCGGAGGAGAAGCAGCCGCAGGCGCCCTCCAGTAAGCGCAATAGATCGGGGGAAAATACGCCCAACCAATACGCAAAGAGGGTCAGAACGCAGGGGCCTTCTTTTGCTGAAGTAGCCAAGGAGCAGATCCTGCTCGGCGTCATCGATGAGAGCAATGAAGACAGCCTCACCCTGAGGCAGCAATGGAAGTGGGTTAAGGCCGCGATGGCCGACATTGCTATCAACATTATGTTGGAGAATCCGGGACCTCCGCCAACCTGCAAGGGAGCGGGGTGGTTCCAAAATAACATCCGCGTTATAGCATGCGAGGATGCTAGATCAGCGGAGATCTACAAGAAAACAGTCGCAGGTATTGGAGAAGTCTACCCTGGTGCGAAGCTCAGGGCGGTCGACTTCAAGGACCTACCGGTGCGACCGAGAGCGAGAGCATGGTTGCCTTGCAGGCCAGCGGAGCCAGAAAGGATCCTCCAAACCATAAGGCTCTATAACCCGGAGCTACCTACCGATAATTGGAAGGTGGTCAAAATCAACGAAAGCGGTAAAGCGACGATGCAGGTTGTCCTGCTTCTAAATAAGGACTCCATAGAGTTGTTGGAGCAAAAGAGCGGGGTCATACGTTACGGCTGTGACATGGCCAAAATTAAGGTCTACAGCAACGACGTAAACGCAGCGAAGAACCTGATCGCGGAGGTAGAGCCGGAAGAGGCCAACAGCGACGTGGAGATGGAGGAAGAATCCGAGCAGGTTGATCCGATGGACGACCTGACCGGGGGTTATGCCTCATCGACGTCTTCGCTGGGGGTCGGACGCATGCTTCGGCTTTATACGGAGGAGGAGTTGATCGAGATGTCGGAAGACGCGGTCAACTCCACCCTAATAGGCGACGTGGGCGATAACGGCCAAGATGGTGAAGGTACTGCAGATTAACCTTCACCACTGTAAAGCAGCTTCAGCTGCACTGCTGCTCCATCTAACAGCTAAAGGGGCAGCCGACATCGTCCTAATCCAAGAACCTTGGGTGGTGGGACAAAACATTTGTGGGCTGAAAGCGCCGGGCTACAGACTGGTAAGTGGAGCCTCAACGGGGAAACCAAGGACGTGCATATTGATAAGTATCACACTAAAGTGTCTCTTTCTTCCACAATTTAGCGACGAGGACACAACAGCGGTCAGTCTAAGTGCAAACGGACGACCAATTAGGATGGCATCCATGTACCTAGCGCATGACAAGGAGGTGCCAACTACCTGCATTAAAGACCTAGTGGCCAGCACGAGAGAGGCGCTAATTTTGGGAGGTGACGCGAATGCCCACCATCACACCTGGGGCAGCTCCGATGATAACGAACGGGGTGAGTCACTTTTTAATTTCATACTTAGTTCTAAGCTTGTTATTGCGAATAGGGGGAATGATCCCACTTTTATTACAAAATCCCGAAGGGAAGTTCTGGACGTTACCCTTATCTCTGAGAATGCGGAATGTCTGGTCGGGAAGTGGAAGGTGCTTGAGGAGCACTCCTTTTCCGACCACCGATATATCCAATTCGAGGTATTAGGGGAAACGCCCAAGGCTCCTCTAACTAGAAACTTGCGAAATGCCAACTGGCATAGGTATCGGAAAGAGCTGGATAGGCTTTTGCCACAAGATAGAGAGCCGGCTACTCCAGCAAACCTAGAGGAGCTGGAATATCTTGTCGACCATTTTACGGGGGCCTGCAGTAAGGCAATAGACATTGCATGCCCCAAAAAGCAGCACCGGGGTAGGAAAAAGCCACCCTGGTGGAATGAAGAAATCAGGATTTCACGCAAGAACTGCAGGAAAACCTTCAATCAGGCTACTGCGTCTGGTAGTGAGGGACATTGGGAGACCTACAAGACAACGTTACGGGAGTACAAGAAGCTCCTAAGAAGGTCGAAAAGAACCTCATGGAAAGACTTCTGCAATGGGGTGGAGTCTATCTCAGAGGCAGGCAGGCTCAGAAAGATACTCTCAGGTACTGCCCAGAAAGCCCCAGGATGCTTGCAAAGACCTGACGGCTCCTGGACAGAGACCGAGGAGGAATCACTGGATCTGCTTCTTTGCACACACTTCCCGGGTGCCACGGATAGCATGCCGGTACAGCCACATCTAACTGGAGATCTTTCGGTCACTGGAGATTTCCTCACTAGGGAAAAGGTCATCTGGTCTATTGGGACATTTAAGCCCTATAAATCAGCAGGTCCGGATGGCATTGCCCCCATACAGCTGCAGCAAACACTTCAGCTAAGCTCAGCGTGGCTACACGCTATAATTAAGGGAGTATTAGCTCATAACCATATCCCTAGAAAGTGGAGGGAATCAAGAGTGGTGTTCATCCCCAAGGCAGGGAAGGTGTCTCACAATAACCCAAAGGATTTCAGGCCCATCACCTTGTCGTCATTTCAACTGAAGGTTATGGAGAGACTGGTGGAGGTCCGTATCAGAGAGTCGGTTGGTGACAGACTCTCTACCACACAACATGCTTATACGAAAGGTAGATCTACAGAAACGGCGCTACATGAAATAGTGTCGTATATAGAGAGATCACTAGACATCAAAGAATATACGCTAGCAGCCTTCCTGGATATAGAGGGCGCCTTTAACAACATCATGCCGGGCGCGATAACGGCAGCACTGGCGGGCCTGGGCATCGACTCGCGCTTAGTTGCGCTCGTAAACCAAATGCTGAGATGCAGGGTGGTCCGGGCGGAGCTGGCGGGGGTATCGTTGACCAGGTTCGTAGAGAGGGGCACCCCGCAAGGGGGAGTCCTATCCCCTCTATTATGGGTCGCAGCGGTAAACTCACTGCTGTGTGGCATGGGGGGGGGTGGCTGTAAGGTTATTGCGTATGCGGATGATCTTGCACTAACAGTAAGTGGGAAATTTCCACAGACTCTATGTGACATTATGCAGGTAAAACTGAAGGAAGTCGAGAGTTGGACAAAAAATAACGGGTTAGGGGTAAACCCAAGCAAGACAGAACTTGTACTGTTCACAAGAAGGTACAAAATCCCCCCATTGATAACACCAAGGCTGGCACAGACCACACTAAAATTAAGCGAATCCGCTAAATACCTGGGGATAGTCCTAGATAAAAAATTAAGCTGGATTCAAAACACCGAAGAGCGGGTGCGGAAGGCCACGGTTGCCCTATACAGCTGCAGGAGAGCAATCGGCCAAAAATGGGGTTTAACCCCGAAGCTAGTGCACTGGATATACACCGTCGTGGTGAGGCCCATACTTCTGTACGGGGTAGTGGTATGGTGGCCAGTGCTGGAGAAGAAAGTAAACATTATTAAATTACAAAAAGTGGAGAGAACGGCTCTGATCTGCATTAGTGGTGCTCTCCGCACAACACCTACTATGGCAATGAACACGATCCTCAACATCATACCCATAGATATTATGGGACGACAATACGCTGCGTTTGCAGCCCTAAGACTACAGGGGCTTAAAAGCTGGAAAGCGGCTCGCTGTGGTCACACTACAATTCTGAGAAACCGACAACTACCGAGTACAAAGGACTACTGTGTACCAAGGCTCACTTTCACTAAAGGTTATAGCGTAACGCTACCTAGCAGGGAATCATGGCTCGAAGGAGTTCCGGGGTCTAGAGATGCCATAAGATTCTACACGGACGGCTCCAAACTAGAAAATAGGGTAGGAGGAGGCGTCTACTCGGAGAAATTGGGAATAAAAAGATCATTCCGACTACCTGACCACTGTAGTGTCTTTCAAGCCGAATTGGCAGCCATACAAGAAGCCGTTGACAGCCTAAAACTAGCTGTTATCGCCACTACGGAAATATATATATACTCAGACAGTCAGGCGGCCCTTATGGCGCTTGACTCTGTCACTATAAATTCGGAAACAGTTGCCAACTGCCGCAAATCACTTAACGTGATGGCAGAGCAGTTCGCTTTGCACCTGGTATGGGTACCGGGGCACAGTGACATACCAGGAAATGAGAAGGCAGACGAGCTTGCAAGGGCGGGTACTTCCTCTCCACTTTCACCAGCCTGGAAGAGGGTGGGTATGCCACTCGCTTCCTGCAAGCTCTTACTAAGGGAGAACTTCCTTGAAGAAGCGGCCTCCAGATGGGAGCGCACTGAAAACTGTAATACAACGAAGCTTACATGGCCAAAATGGGATGTACGGAGATCGAGAGAAATTCTCACTCTCAACAAAGGCGATATGTCACTGGCCATTGGTCTGCTCACAGGACATATTTTGATAGGAAGGCACGCAGAACGCCTCGGGGTTAGTCACAACGACTACTGCAGGAGCTGCCATGACGAAGAAGAGCCTGAATCAATAAGGCACTTACTCTGCGATTGCCCAGCACTGGGCAGGAAAAGACAGAAATTCCTAGGTATAGGTCTTCTAGACGATCTAAGCGCGACTGCTAAGTTTGGAATACGGCAGTTGCTAAGGTTTGCAGACTCCACAAACTGGTTTAAGGAATAGGGGTTTTCTTTGGATCCATGTGGTATCACAATGGGCCCTGATCGGGCCTAAGTGTGCTGGCGCCCTCTGGGCCTAGCAGCCACTTCAACCTAACCTAACCTAACCTATTCGTATAAAAAGCTTTATTCACTGCGTATCTAAATATCGAGATATTGAATTGATGGATGTTAAGGCAGGTTTATAAATGAGATATTTTTCTTTGAAATGCGGTTGCGAAGCGATAATAGTTTCAACAATGACAAGGTTCTTAAAATATTTAAAATGATTCTAGAGCGATTCAAAAAAGAAAACTTCTTATTGTTAGTCATATTTCCAGTAAATCGGAGAATCTCAAAGTTTTTAACCGCAACTCGCAGGAATTAATGTCAAACCGGTCGCGCTCAGATGTTGTCCCAAGCCCGGAGGCTCCGAGGCCCGGACATTTGGCAAGCCTAAGCGTAAGGTTTATTTTTACCTTACTAATGTATATATCGTTGCCTTAAGCTGACAAGGTGCCAAGTTCATTTTTTGAAATTGCTCCGAAGGCTTTATTAATACTACAAACTGCGAATTTGTTGCCACTTTTTCGGTCTTTCGCAATTTACTCGAAATTTTGAGGGTTTAGAGGTGAAACGGGCCTCATATTCGGATTCAGTGGATCGAAATACATGTCGATAAGTGGGTTTGGTTAAAAGTACACACCACTTTTTTGTGTGTGCTATGTATATAATAGCTATTATTCTGATCTTTTTGTTTACTGGATATCTTATTCTAAGTATAAAAACCAGAAAAAATACATGTATTTAATGCTGTCCAACACCGCTTCCTTGATTAAAAGAAATGGGAGGAAAGAAGCCATTTTGGTAGGTTTGTGAACCAGCTCTTGGTAGGAAAGAAAGTTTTTCAGTGGGAACCCTGCTCAGATGACACTGGTTTCCAGAATGACTTAAAGAGCTCAGCTCTCTGAGAATCAGATACCGTTCCACACTTGTTGTTACCGTAAGAATTCGTACACCGACATCGCTGCTTCAAGTTTCGTTTTTTTCAAACCCACTTTCTCTCCGCTGATTCTTTCCAAACCAAAGTAACGTTTTCCTTGTTACCTTGCTTTTTTAATTTTTTCCCTTTTCCACTGTCTTCGATCGAGTACTTGAATTTTCAAGGGAATTAAGCTCAAAGAAACTTGATGAATCAGTTGAATAGTTATCGCCCGAATTAGTTTAAAAAGTCCTGTTCTTTCATCTAACTTCTTGGTACTAAAATTGTTATGGCATTCGAACTTTTCAACGAACATGAAACATGTACCCTCTCTAAGTTTAATCTATTATCTNATTGGTACTAAAATTGTTATGGCATTCGAAGTTTTCAACGAACATGAAACATGTACCCTCTCTAAGTTTAATCTATTATCTTAATTATCAAATTCGGCGGATTTTCTCAATACAATTGGTGCCTAAAATGCAAGGAAGTATGAATTTATACTATCTTCATTATACATACTATATTCGCGTTTGGCCATTAAGTCGGGTTTGTAGGCCATTTTGGAGTTTAACGCTGAACTCTGCTCCTAAATTCGAAGTTTACCATACAAAGAAATTTTCGTTAAACTCTCCATAAACACCACTTTTATTTGGAGTTTATGGGAATGCAACCCTTTTTTACCGAGTTTGGATTGTGTCTTTGATAACACTAGTTTACACGAAAAATTAACCATTGTAAAAAAGTATTTTGTAGGCCAACTATGGGTCGCTGAATATGAAAACAAAACCCTTTTTTTGTTCAAAGAAGCGTTTTCGAGATTTTTCCCAAAAACGTGTTTTTGGTACTTTTCGCACCTATTCGTAAATATCTCTTGAANTAACTATGGGTCGCTGAATATGAAAACAAAACCCTTTTTTTGTTCAAAGAAGCGTTTTCGAGATTTTTCCGAAAAACGTGTTTTTGGTACTTTTCGCACCTATTCGTAAATATCTCTTGAAAAGATCATAAAATCAACGCAATCAACCTACCGTTCGAAAGGTAGTGATGTGTTCTTTACTAAAAGATATAACTTGTGCAAATTTATATAGAAATTATTTGTGTTACTAGCGACCAAAGTCAAAAAAATTAAATTTTTAATCAATTTTTAAAAGTGCACATTTTTAGTTTCTTATTTTTCATTAAAAAAATTGTTTATTAATTTTTATTTTTTAACTTTACTAAAAGCTTAGTCATTACAGCAAATTTTGAGTCTGTCATCCAAATCGGATAAGGAATGTAGATGTTATGGAGCACTAAGTAAAAATTCTAACTTTGCACTTTTCACACAATCACGCTCTTGGTCGAAAATAAGCTTTTCCCCTTGAAATTTTTCGTTTGTGTTGGGTAGAATCTTCTTGAATTTACATCCAGCAGTAGTCACCCATCATGCCTTCGTCCCAAAAGCGTTCATATCGTTTTCCGAATGCTGCGATGTCCTAATGGAATCTTTCGCCTTGCTCATCGCTCTCTGCCCCCAAATTCAAAGGAAAAGCGTTTTCAGTGACATGCGGGCTCCTGGAAAAGAAATAATTTTTAACTTCTAAAGAAGACGTATAAAACGAATCTACGATATAGATTATGCCAATAGCCTGAAATGTTTGCAACATGCTATCCATCAATTGACGCGCTTTAGAACTTCGCTTGTTACTATTTATGTACAACGTCACGAAAAGCAATCCATGCTCCTGCTTCAGCACTGTTCAAACGTTTCAACGTTTCCGGGGTCAATTTAGGGAACTTCTTCATCAAATATTTTAGCCCTTTGTTCTCGGGATCTTTGGCCAACGCTCCGACAAATTCTTCATTAGTCCAAGT